TGTTAAACATTTGTAAAAATTAATATATTATAAATTAGAATAAATTTTTGACAGCATTAGGATATTATCGATTAATTGATGTTTTAAATAACGTTAAATATAAAGTAAGTCAATAAAATTAAGGATAATATGTATTGTTTGGAAATCGTATGGAAATTAAATACAAAATAAGTTTCAAATTATTAATTAAATTTAAAACAATCAATGAATTAAAAAAGTAACTAAATTTACGAATAAATTGTATTTAAAAATAAAATGAAAACAATTAAATTAAATAAAGAGTGGAAAGAATAATGTACTGAATATTGAAAGTAAATATTAAGCAAAAATATAATCAATTGAATTGAATAATTGATTCATTATTTTTACTTCGAATAAAACTTCTTCTCATTATTTACTCGGATTTCAATTGTCTTGAGTTTAGGACTCGAAGACAACATAGCATTCAAATCGTTGTCCGAGAGATCAGTCTTTGGTTGGCTTTCAATGAGAACTGAATAATAAATCTCTTGTAGTGGAGGAATGTGTGACAAACTATAGGCCTCATGAATGCATAGGTATTGCAGTTGTGGACAACTTTTGCGGACAATTGTCAACACATTTGCATTCATTCTTCTGAAATGGATGTCTAAACGCGTTAACCGTCGGCAGTGTCTCAACGGATACAACGCTATCTCATCGGCGGTGGCGTTGAATCTCAAATCCAATCGTTTTAATTGTCTGTAATATCGCAACGAATCCAATGTCTGGACATTGATTTGCTTCTGAGTGGAGAACAACTCGAGTGACAGTCGTTTCAATAGTTTGCAATTCACGCCAATTGTATGCAAAAAGTCGGCGATTAAGTCGTCGTCAGTCATGACATCCAATCCGAGTCTCAATTCCCGTAATTGTGTTAATCGTGACAATTGTCCGCACATTTCCATCAAAGACTTGTTATTCTTGTATTCGATATATTTTATGTCAAGACTTCTTAGGGACTGATTGTGTGCCACGAATGCAGACAAGTGTCGAGTGTTATAATAGTTTGAATAGTAATTCAATTGGCATTTAAGCAAATTCTTGGCCAATAGTGGACCGGAAGTGCTTTTAAAGACACTCAACAGACCATTGACTACTAATTTAGACAATCGGTGGCAATGAGTGAGCGCTTGTCTGTACGCGTCATCAGATGTCTTGTCATCGGATGTGTTGTCATCAAATGTCTTGTAACCGATTCGTGTGATCATTGGCCACAATGTATGCATTGTTTGTCCACTCATTTTTGATACATTGCAGTAAATGTCCCGCAAATTATGACAATTGTCTCGAAATGTTTTTATAGCTCTAGGAATGTATGCAATGTATGAACGCATTCCTCGGCAGTCAATGGTCTCAATGTTCGGACATTTTATGGCAATTGTGGCCAACAATTGAGTGTTAATTGTCTTCCCATTTGTCAGTAATCTCTGCATTAATTCATCGCTAAGAGTGATGTCGACAACACTCCCGAAGACAGTCCTCTGGAACTGTTTGGACACACATTCCAAGCGAATCCGATCTTCGAGTGAGAGATAAGACACTATAAGTGCAGACAAATCATCACCGAATCGACCCAAAGTGTCTTTTGCGTACATTTGTGGCTAAAATGTGAGATAAAAACAGTTAATATTCAATAAGCAGTCAATTGTTTGTGAAATACCTGTTGTTTGTTGTCTTCATTGCCGTCATCTGTGGTCTCGAGTGATGTCTTCTTGTGTTTCGTTTGTTGCGCCATATCTTGGGATCAAATGAAGTGATTGTATGAATGGTTTGATTGAAAACCCAAACAATAACTGAAATCTCTTTTCTTTTCAATTCAAACACTAATAACGTCTTGAATATAGACTTGTGTTTCAATTATTGGAATGTTTTCTACAGAAAGCGAACTCTAATTGTATAACAAAACTATATAACAGTCCGTATAATAAGAGTACAGTTTGTATTCAATTGTTGTTCAAATAGTTTGAATAAAGTGTTTTCAATTAACAGTAAATATTACAATACAGTCAACACTCGTTATTATTTCAAACGAAATGACACTTAAGTAAAATTAATGAATGTCTGAATTAATTAATTAGTTGAATAGGATTTAAATAAATTTTATTTTTGAGTCGACCGGCGTATAGCGCGGATCTGCCGCAGGTCCTGAGTGCATAGCATATAGGGGTCGGAGTTGTTGTCCGCACACATCAGCTCTCGTAGGCATTCGCGCGCATCGACTGAGACGTGAGAACACATCATTTGCAAACATACTGTGAAATAGCGTTAAGTAAGTTATATAAATTACCATTAATTACCGTAATTTTAGGGTAAATTTACGTAATTTATAATTGAGGTAGTTTATGTAATTTATAAATGGGGGTATAATAGGTGTTTTCCCCCACATTTTGTAAAATTTTGAGACATTTTTTGCTATCGCCATCTATTGAGTGAGCTTTTTGTGGGTAAATTTACCAGGTAATTATTACCGGTAAATTTACCTGGAGGTAATCTTTAATAAAAGGTAATTTTTATTCACGCTACTGTGAAAGTAGTGTTTGAGTTGGCATAACGTTATTTGTGAATGTTTTGCATAAGTGTTGGACTGATTGTGGAACCATTTGGTGATCCTTTGCGTCCCATACTTGATATACACTTATAATGATTACACATATATTGTATTATAAACACAATTCATATCAATCGACAGAAGTGACCGGAAATATATAAATTCCTGGTTTATAACATTTTTGTTTGTGTTACTGTTCGTAAATAACATGCGATTATTATGGGGTGTATTCTATACACAATTGTGGTTAAAAATTATTAAATTCAACGTTAATTTCCATCAAAATATTTTATTCATAAATTAACTCAAAATGACGTCACATTAGCAGTAATTAACACAACATTCTTAAAAAATCACATCAATTTTTTAATGGTCAAAAAGTACAACAATATTGTTTGTAAAACATTAAAATATGATTAAAATTTATATAATTAAAATTATAATTAAAATGCTGATAAAATTGGTAAAACATTTGCAAATTTTAATATATTATAAGTCAATTAAATTAAGGTCAATATTTTGTTTATTTTGTTTTGTTTAAAAAGATTATAATTTAAAAGCAATTCATTTCAACGTTTGTATTAATAAAACAAATATTATATTCGGTTTGAATGAGAAGTAGTGAACAGTCGACTCAAGCCATTAAACTGTATGTAAAGTGAAAGCCAAACACTAATCAATGTTTAGTAACTAATATTAATTAAATTAATGCAAACATTCGGAAACAATTCATATAATACGTAACGATATAAGTGTGAATGGAGGGGAGGGTTGGGGTAAATGTTGGATATTTATAATTATGTCGATTAAATGTTTTACCCCAAAAACTAAATTTATACAATGTTTGCACCACTGCTTGACTGCGGATCGTCTCAAATATGGACAACATTGGGAAAGTGGCGCCTGAGCTGAGCGCGCGTTGTCATGTCTCTGATGTTTGCAACTCTTGATCCCCTGTAATAGAAAATCCAATCCCCTCTAACAACTAATTGTATAATTTTGCGGTTTTGTGACCTAAGAGTCCTCTTGAGGAACACTTTGGCACGTTTTTGTTGTCGCATTTGATGGTCGGTTGAGTCCAGACAACTGTCCAAATGATTGGCCGATTGGGTTGTGGTGTGAGGTTCGGGTGTCATGTGATTACAGGTCACAGACTGTAGAAAACTTGTCGCCAATACCTCATCTATTTGTTGGATATTAGACCCACGAATGCTGTCCAACGATTGGTCCGATGTATGGCCGCCAACAGTGGCCGCGGATGTTATGTCAGTTCCACTCGTCTCACCACCGCTTGACTCAAACACTTGTCGGTAATCAATAAATGAACGAAACAATGGTTTGAGTGACAGAGCGTCCGCTTTCAGACCCTTTGACTCATTTAATGCTTCAAAAGTGGTGTAGTTTTTGGTGCAGTCAGTGATCCGTTTCAAGAACGTCGACGCGGGTGGAGCGGACACTACGGCTGACCCATTAGTATCCACATCTCGTCTACCATTGGACTCATCGATGGACTGAATGATTTGCAGTTAAAATTAAATCACATGTGAATATATATAACTTGTATATTAACCTTAGATATTGTTTCTAAACGCATCCGTTTAGTGACACTACGGGTGCGAATGGGCTCCGAGTGTACGACAGTTTTTGTCGGTTTGCGGTTTTGTGAGCTAACAGTCCTCTCGAGCGAAACGTTGGGACGTTTTTGTGATCGCATCGGACGACCGCTTGGCTCCAGACAATTGTCCAAATCATTGGCCAATTGGGTTGTGATGCGAGGTTCGGGTGTCATGTGATTAGCGGTGACAGACTGTACATCACTTGTCACCAAATCCTGATCTGTTTGCTGGACATCAGACCCACTAAAACTGTCCAACGATTGGCCCGATGTGTGGCCGCCTGACGGGTGCGGCGTCGTTGGTGTCGGTGTCCGCGCGAAGGCCTGAAACGATTCAATTTGAATGAGTCATTAAAATGAGTGAAAATTTGTGGCCCAAAACATACCAGTCGTTTGAGTGCCGGACGTGTCGGTACAGGCGAGCCATCACTACCCCTATTGTCTCCATCTGTGACCACTTCGCACACTGTCTTCAATTGGTTGCCAACAGTGGATGTCTTACCACTACTTTCGCTAAGACTATTCAATTGTCTCATCATTTCACTGAATTCCGAGTCGTTTATCACTTGAGCCCACGTTTGGCTGTCGTTATCATCGGTGGCCATCACTTCCATCGACTCGTCGGTACCCAACGTATCCATTGTCTCAACACTTGGTTTGTTTGTTATCAACAATACTATCGATCAGACAAATAGAGCACATGTTTTGATACATGTTTGCAAACATTTGTGTTCATTCAGTATTATTAACGCATAGAGTGTTGTGTATAAAAAGGTACCAAATATGTCAACATTTGTGTCATTTATTCTTGCAATTCAGTTTATTCACATAAAACGTAATGATTTGCAATAATAAATATACAATTGATTAATTAAAATATACAAATTGATTAAATAAATGATTAATGTAGAGTTTCACAGCTATTTGTGATCTAATTAATCCATTTAAACATGTCATACGTTTAACGCTAATTGTAAACATATTTGATATACATTTTAAATAAATAATTATTAATTCATTAAAACTGGAAGTCATAGACTTCGGCAATTAGACATTGCCGGCCGATAACCGATAGTGTATTGAATTCATTATCAAAATTACCAAAAATACATACCATTAGACTCTATGGTTGTCACGAATTCACACATTTAAATACAATTATCGCATAATAATAAATAATGAAATGATATTTTATTTATGAAATGAATTGAAAAGTTTTATAATTATTTAAAAATTGAATATTAAATACAAACATCAAAATTAAGAACAAAATATTTTAATTATAATTTGTAATTATTTTCTTATTTAACTTTAAAACCTATTTCTTTTCATATGAACACAACTTTTGTGGCAATTTAAACGTCTCTTTGATTTAATCATTGTTGATTATCATTGATAATCATTGAAATCACAATCAAATGGCTTTCCTATGAATGCGAGAGTTTGTGTTGATTTAATCCTTGTTTATCTGAAAAACTTTTGCCACAATTCTCTTCATTACATTTGAATCGCTTTTCCTTCAAATGAACACAACTTTTATGTCGATTTAAATTTCCCTTTTGTTTAAAACATTTATTACAATCATTTAAATCACATTTAAATGGTTTTTCTCCCGAATGAGTATAGCGTTTGTGTGCAGTAAGAGCTGAGTTATTTCCAAAACTTTGGCCACAATTCTCTTCATTACATTTGAATCGCTTTTCTTTCAAATGAACACAACTTTTGTGTCGAAATAAATATTGTTTTGTTATAAAACTTTTGTTGCAATTATTAAAATCACATTTAAATGGCTTTTCTGTCGAATGCGTCAATTTGTGTTGATTTAGTGTATATTCGAGACCAAAACTTTTGCCACAATTTTCTTCATTACATTTGAATGGCTTTTCATTCAAATGAACACAACTTTTGTGTTGAAATAAACTTCGTTTTGATGTAAAACTTTTGCTACAATTATTGAATTCACAAACAAAAGGTTTATCTCCCGAATGAAAGAGTTTATGTCGAGCTAATTGTGATCTTTGACCATAACTTTTGCCGCAATTTTCTTCAATACATTTAAATGGCTTTTGCTTTAAGTGAACACAACTTTGATGAATAAGTAATTCATCTTTTCGTGCAAAACATTTATTACATTCAGTGAAACCACATTTAAATGATTTTTCTCCTGAATGTATGACTTTATGTTTGTTTAGATCGTATTTTCGAGCAAAACTTTTGCCACAATTTTCTTCATTAAATTTGAATTGTTTTCCTTTCAAATGAACACAACTTTTGTGTTGAAGTAATGAATGTTTGTTTATAAAATTTTTGTTACAATTATTAAAATCACAAATAAATGTTATATTCAAATGAACGCTATTTTTGTGTTCAATTAAATTTGATTTTGATTTAAAAGCTTTTTTACATTCACTGAAATCACAAGCAAAAGGTTTTTCTCCCGAATGTTTGCGTTTGTGTTGCATTAGA